CCGACACTGCAGTTTGCCCTGTGGACGCACAATACACAGATCACAAATACAATACATCACAACAGAAACACAGGTAACTGATGTTTATATCTTTTTCTCTTTGATAAAGGACTAAATAGCTGACCTCTTTCACCCACGCCAACAGTCTCTTGAGGGTCTCATGGTTCTTGTGCTGCCACCTGCTGTATATGAAGCCCTCCATCTTCAGCTGTTTCAGGATCACAGTGAAATAGGAGTACGGCCCTAAAATACAGATCATTCAAGAGAAAAATGAAACAATGAAACTACAGTTCATATCTAAAATAACTGTCTGTGTGCCTCCACAGCTCTTATGGGTCTTCAGCAGGACAACATCTCCCTCTAGTAGAAAATGGGAAGAAACCAGGGCCATCCCATAATATCACTGTCTCCGCCTTTGCTGAGTGCTACTTAGATACAGTTAAAGCTATAATGAAGCCCTACAGTTTAGTAGGCCTAATTAAAGAGTTTAACACCAAAATCTATAAAAACCTGCTGTAGTCCGTGGATCAAAGGGACATGAACAAGTCACATTATCTCTGAGGATCTTTAGCTCAAAAACCCCCGAAAGTTGATTCTGTTCATCTTGACAAAGTGTTTTCAGTGGGAGAAATGTTTCATCGCTCATCCAAGTGACTTCTTCAGTCTCAGCTGACCGCAGGTTTCCCCAACCTCGCACAATGACTGAAACCAGCCCACTGAATGAACAACGGGCTGTGAGGTCAGTTCCTTGGTCATTAATATGCAAATTGTCATGACCATTGAGCAACAACCACTGATCATAGCTCATTGATCAAAGCCCACTGATCAATGGCCATGAGTACCATTCACAGAGAGTTGGGGAATGTCTGCAATCACAGATGGTGACAGATGTACCCTTAGGCCCCCTCCTCGATTCAGAGATGGTCTTTCCCTTTTCACGTAAACGGCCTCCTTGACTCCGTGCTCAAACCAGAACCAGCGTTCCTCCCTGTCCAGGATGTGCACATCCTCATCATTGAAAGAGTGTCCACTGGCCTGTAGGTGCAAATAGACTGCAGCGTCCTGGCCTGATGAGGTGGCTCTTCTCTGTTGTGCCATCCGTTGTTTGGGTTCCCCGATGTATAAATCCTGGCAATCCTCCTGGCACTTGACAGCGTACACTATGTTACTCTGTTTGTGTCGGGGGACCTGATCCTGGGGGTGGACCAATTTTTGGCGCATCGTGTTTTGGGGTTTAAAAGCCACAGATACACTGTGATATGATTTATAGAAAAATGCATCTCAACGGCTCCGATACTCCTGACACATAAGGCAGGTTTCCCTATGTCCGGGCTGGTCTGTGAGTCGTTTGGTACTGGGCCGCGAGAGTTGAGGCTTGGGTGTGAAATTTATGTTTTTCAAATCTTCTTTTTGGTACTGGTTTTATTTTGTTGTATTTATCTGCGACACCTTAAAGGCCACTCTGTGAAAATATTGTCTTTAATAAAGTAGGTTGCTTAACCTTAAACTGGTTGTGTAGCCAGATTTACACTTTTATAAAGATGATCCAGGAAATATCTAGTATAGATGTATAAGTCAGTCTCAGTATTATTTTTATTATTTCCTATGAAATAGTCTGTATTGAGTTCATGTCTTTGACAAGGAAAAGTAAATTAGGGCAGTAACACACCTGTCTGGGGTTCACTGTCATTGTAGGTGGAGATACTTCCACACACAGCTATTCTTCCAAAGTTCTTCATCTGCTGCAGGACAATGAATGAAGAAGAACCTCCCACCTAAAATCAAAGATCGAGAGAAGAGCTCAGCAGTGATTAAATATTACATGCAAGCTTGAAACTGCACCACCAC